ATCCAATATTCACCCTCCTTTTAGCACTGTTTTGGTCTCCACAAAATCCTTTAAATCATATAGCTCTTATGCTGCTAAATGCTGCACTGTGTTCACCAACTAGTCATTAACTTTGTCTGTCTGCAGTTTAGTGCTGGGCAGGCAGTGTACCGTGAGCTTTCAGAGCTGTTTTGCTTTGTGTCCATAAGAAAACCAAAACAGAGACAAAGGGCTTTGTTTTTATGTTTTTTTTTTTGTCTCTAAAAGAGACAACAAGCTTCTGTAGAACAATTGCAGAGTTTGTGTGATCATTTTGTGGATTTGTCACTATCAGAAACAGCTTTCACATTACACACAGTAATTTGATCTATTGTTGTAGTATAGAAGTAGCATAAAAATATTGATTTCAGGTGAGGGCAGAAAAACAGAGCAGCTTTCTTGTAATGCTACTCTCATTGATTATTTTGTTTTTAGAAGTCCTGGAGGATTTTCACTGGGGATTGGAGCTTAACATATCTGGACTGAAAAACATCTCATTTCAACTCTCTCTCTCTCTCTCTATTTACAGGTCAAGCAGGGCAGATGTGGATTCAGTGTATGTACATCAGTAATGACAGCTGTCGTTATCGGTTTCAAACAAGCTCACAGTCTGGTGAGACCCAGCTTCACATTAGCACAAGACCAGGTATAATGTCAACACACAAACACACACACACACAAACAAACACAACACACAACACACAACAACACACACCACACACACACACACACTCATTCAAGGTCACTTCCGTTGCTACCATTGCTGCACTACTGCACCCTGGTGTATTTGAGTCAGCAAGCCTGCTGTCAGTGTTACAGCTGTATTTTACATTTCCCCTCAGTTCCCAGCTCAGTTTCTTGATTTTCACAGTCATACACACGCATACACACACATGCATAATTTCAAACCCACTAGCTCACACATGCCCTGGGTTACACACATACACATTATTGCACATCCAAGTGTTACAGGTCATCCCCGCCTTCCCGATTTTTTGGAACAGCACTGCTCATTGTGCGTGACCCCCCCCCAATCTCCTCCTATCCCCTCAACCTCCCCTCCACCCAACGGGACACTCTCTTCCTGCTCACGCCCACTCCTCCCGGGTGCAGCAGGAGCCAGGTCTCCATGGTTACCCTGTTGCAAAATGTCAGAGCACTCTTTGGGCTCTTTGTGTTGAACGACGAGCCCGTCATCCACACATGCTCCCCAGCAGATACACAGCCAGCTGACTATTCAATACAGCACCACTGGCACAGCTGCCACTGTATGTGTGTGTGTTTTTGTGGAAAGGAATTAAGTAATTTAATTTATTCAAGTACTGTACTTTAATACAATTACAAGTATCTGTATTTCAATTTTAAGCTGTATTATACTATACTACTCCACTACATTTCAGGGGACAACTTTTTACTAGTTTTCCTACTCTCAGTACATTTATTGTGCGGCTGTTGTTACTAGTTACAGTATATAAAGTACTTAAAACTAGGCCCACCTTGATCAGCTACACCATAAAAATTATACTTACACATTGATGCATCAGTATTAATAACCTTGATAATGTAAGAGGGTACTTTAATACATTGAAGGCTACATTTTTATGTGTATTTGGTGTACTTTTACTTAAGTAAGTGGTTTTGCAAGAATTTACTTGTAATTGTGTACATTTAAATTATTTTATTGGTACTTTTAAAAATGTTTTAATACTTATTTCATCCCTGATTCTCAGGTAAGTATCTCTAGGTATCTTTGTGAGTACCAATTTAGTTTTGGAAATTGAGGACAGTTCTGTCCTTACTTCTTTAAAGGATTGTTTGGGGATTCAGATTTGGTTTTAAGATTTAAGTGAGGATTGGGTGTAGGATAATGAATACGTTTATAAGAATTCATCAAGATTGCAGTACTCTGTTTTCACAGTGAAAAACCCCCTCTCCCAGCTCCCCAGAGTGAAATGAATTTTGTGTGGGTCCACAGAGTGTGCCAGCAGCAGCCGGCTGGTAGGAACATTCCTGAGTGTGTGTGCTCTGACAGTGCTGTGCGGTCTGGTGGTGGTGGCGGTGTCCCGGCTGCTGCTACAGAAGAAAAACATGTCACCAGGGGGTGCTGCTGAGGAGGAAGCCTATCACTGCCCTGGAAAGGTTAGCTCTCACAAGTCAAGTTTGCTAGAGGCGATCATTTGCACAGTTTTAATTGAGCGGAGGCTGCTGTGACCCTGAAGCCCCCACAAGGATTAGGGACCCCTTAATTGTTTAGGATATTTTTGCTCATGTTTGCCGTCCGCTGAAACCAGGAGTGAGAAATCTGAGTCTGCTGTTAGAGGTACAGCTGTATTTTACATTTCCTCTCAGCTCCCAGCTCACCATCTACGGTGTCCAGATTTGTGACCATACGATGATGTACAGCACCTTTGAGAAGGAGGAAACGATGGAAATTTCAACAGGGGGGACTTTCTGGAGATATGTGTGCCTAAACTGATTTGGATTGCTTATGAGGATTTAGAAACCCCTCACTGTTCATCCTTTGTCGCAGAGCAGCTTAATGACAGTGCAGATGATGATTCTTACATGGGGCACCATCCCCTGTTGATGTTGTAGACATTATAGTCTCAGGGGAAATCTAGTTCATAGTGTTGTAAAGTCGTAAAGTCATAAACATGAAAACCTTTTCCATCACTAGCATCCATCCAAACACACAAACACAGAATGACCAAAACACCCTGCTGAGTTGCATTACGGTAAAGCGTGGGATCTGGTCTTTCCGGAGCTTGACTCATATAAGGGAGTAAAGGTTGGGTAGTCTCAGCCTCTCCTGCATTCAATTTGATCTCTCTTAAGTCCCCAACTCTAAATGCAACACTTAATCAAGTATCATGTGTTGGTTCGAGTGTGTCTGTGTATGTACGTGGATGCCTGCTGGTGTATGCTCAACCTGGTTATGTTTTAAAATGGGCGAGAAAATTGTGTGATTTTTGTCTGTTGCCAAGAAGAGTAAAATGATTATCGATATAGGCTGTTTAAATATAATCACCTCATTGTGGGGACTGTATAATGATACGTTTATTTTTAAAAAGACAAAAATTGACTGACCATATATTTCTGTCACTCTTCAGGACCTGTCATACATCCCCACAACCAACGAGAAGACAGTTACCTACAGGAGGGACCGTCCACTTGACCGCCCTGTGGAGATGCACATCCAGGTTCCCAAGATGCCTCTGGGTGACCCCTGGCAGTATTAAGCAGAGGTCAAAGGTGAAGGCCAGAGGGAAGTTAGGAGAGACATATAGAAGAAGTGTTGACTAAAGGCTTCATTTCTGCCTCTTAACCTTCATAAAACTTCAACCAGCAGCATGTGGAGACACTGATAATGGAAAACTAAACTATGAATCCTTCATGGGGTCACATGTGTGAAACGAACTGAACTGATGAATTTTCATAGACTCTGCGACTAAGTGGCCAGTATCCTGGAAATTGAGATGAAACAAAGAGCACAAGTACCCCAACTCTTCTTCCTCTGTAGCAGCAAGGAGGCTGCTTCTTCCACAGGGTAAAGGGTGACCATTCCTCGCTTTTTTTAGCCACGCAGCAATTACTCCTCTAACTTATGAGTGAATGTATGTGTGTGTGTGAGTGTGTGGTGTAGGTAGATGCATTCATGCTCTATCTTGGCTTTCTATTTATGATTTTATAGTAAAAACACTACATGTCTTAGATTCATGTGATTGTTTGACGCGCCAACTGTGCCATCTCCCTGTCTTAGTCTGCCCCCTTGTGGCCATCTTTAGGTACGACACGTTTTCTTCATTACTGACCTCATCTGTATTTCCATGGGATTTAATTCATGAAGCACTCCAATAACTCTGTATGCCTTTTTATTTTTTTAATCTGAGTAGATTTTCAGTCATATGTGGAGTACCCTGTCTTCTAGGGTTTTTCAACATTTCTATGTTGCATTTTGTTTTTGTTAACCGATCAACTGCATTTGCAAATTAGTGTTATTTTGAGGCATTTAATCATAATTGAGACTATAGTTTCATATGATTGTCAGTTGTTGATTAGACTTGCACTAGAACAATTGTTTTGCATTATACTACTGAAAACTGTGTGTGGCAGGAGAGCTGTACCGGTGGATTTGATACGATTGGTTTGCTATATGTTGGGCATTAGAAGAGCATTTGAAGCTATTGTAACAAATCCACAACACTGGAATAATAATGGACTGAAAATTCATGCTTAAAAAAAGCGACATCCTGTCACTTAACTGGCAACTGTATCATCAAACGCCTGTACATGTGGCCTCTATAACAGAGACAGAGCCTGAACTGTGTTTGCATGCAACTGCTGATCATCCTAGAGCCATTAGTATCCAGAGTCCAAGACCAGTTCCTGTACAAAGGTACAAATCAGCTCTGAAGGTACTGAGATCAGAGGTGGAAATACACCTCTCATGCACTAGATCACCTGGATCCAGAGTGCCAGTTTGCATGGCATCTTGTGAAACTTTTGCTCTCCCAATCTTGTTCCACTTTTTGAATTGTATTTAACACAATATTGTTTACAGCAATGCCTGCTCTATATTACTGTAAGTCAAGAACACTATTATTTATTGTGATTCTATTTTCTTCTTTTTATTTATGTTAATTGTGCTATTTTATGATAAGGCTACTTGAGTTGCAGGTAATAAGTACTGTTTGTGTTTATGAAGAGCGGTATCTATCTCTAACCACGAGAATAATTCAGCAATAAGGTAATAATCATCTCATCTAACCGGGCGCTGAGTTCGGGGTAACAACAGCACTTTTTCGTGTAGTTAAAACTGTCAATTAATGTGACTACCTGTGTAGCATGAACATTTTGATCACAATAAAAGGTACAAGATTTTTTTATGATTTTTTGCATTTTTCAGTTTTTTTATGAAAATGTGGGAAACTAGTTAGGTCCACTGTACGTTAGTGAGGTTAAAAACATGATAAGTTCAACAAATATTTCCAATATTTATTGCTAGCCTGTGTTTTTAATGCATATAGTCAGTATTTTAATTTCAGTTGAATGACAGATCTTGTGTAGATCTGGCTAATATTGTTTTGTATTTTGTGATTCAACAAAATGAACAAAACAAACAAGGTGTGACCAACTCAAATAGTCCAAAAAATAGTGTCTGTATAAACTGAACACTAGGTGGAGACACACACAAAGGCAACTGGGATGAGTGTTACTGATCACTGTAAACATTTTAAGAGATAGGCAAGTTACAGAAAGTGTGTACAATACAGTGTTTGATAAATTATCTGAAATTATTTCAATACCTTCATCAGAAATATTTAATTATCAAAAACCAGCTATAGGCCTCAATTCTACCTGAAATATTACGTCAAGTTGTTATTCATTTAATTTAATGGCGCAAGTCTGTGTCAGCCCCAGTCTTCACTTAGGCCAAAATCAATTCTTTCAATCAATCAGTTGCTAACAGTCCATAAAAAATAAAATAAAACCCGGACTGAATACATTTCAGGGGCCTGATTAATTCTAGTAGGTTCTTATGTAGCTTTTACTGGTTCAGAATAAAGACAGATATTAGATTTTAGTTATATACTGTTTTATATTTGTAATTGTCAGTCAAAAATACTGATTAGTCATTTATCATAATATGCAAAAACGACTCAGGTTAAATCCAAAGCCTAGAAGGTCTACCGAGAAATGAAATATGTCCAAAGATCGTCCTGTTTTATAGATAGAAGTTATAGCCTAATCATGACTTGCACGCTGAAATAAATCTGAACAATTCAACCAAACATAAAAACCTATAATAATATGGCAAAACCCTCAATTAATTAAATTGCGTTGTGATGTCAAGAAACAACCCAAATAATGACTTGACTACTTGTTCAATTCTAAACAAAACCCAAAAAAGTGTTTGTAGAATAAATAAGGCGCACATAACATGTCTTCAAATAACAGCAGTCTGATAAACTGTAGAGTAAAAATTTATTTTAAAGAAGGCTACAAATAAACATAAATGAGGTAAGGACACAGTGTTCATCATAAAGTGCCATTTCAGTTTTTAAGTGTCCAAGAAAACACCCTCCATAAAGGCTGGTACAGTGTAATCAAATGCCCACGTGTTGCTTTGTTCGTGTTTAGTTTAGTGAATTATTCCACCGCAGCCTCGGTGGTTTGGACAGTATCACGCGCGTGTAGCCCGGGAGACTGGCTCGGGCTACCGGAGAGGCTATTGTCCGTGTCGCTGCTCCCTTTACCGAGTCCCGGTTCTCCGCCATCCTCCGAGCCCTCCGCGCTGTGCGTCCTCGTGTGCTTGCTGAGGTGGTCGGAGCGCATGAACCGCTTGTGGCACACGGAGCACTCGAACCTCTTCTCCCCGGTGTGCGTGCGCAAATGCCGCTGGAGCTCGTCGGAGCGCGTGAAACGTTTCCCGCAGAAGAGCCAGTTGCAGACGAACGGCCTCTCTCCGGTGTGCCAGCGCAGGTGAGCCTTCAGGTGAGAGGTCTTGCCGTAAACTTTACCGCAACCCGGGATGTGGCAGCTGTGCAGTCCCCTCCGCCGCGGGCTCGTGCCCCCCTGGCCCAGGCTCTCCGCCTCCTGGCAGTTCGGACAGTCGCACGTGGCTCTGCCGGAGTAGCGCCGCGAGGAGGAGCGGGAGGTTGAGGGTAGAGAAACGACGGGGTTTCCTGTCAGTGCAGGTGCCCCCGTCGTCGTAGACTCTGAGTAGGGACCCGGGACAGGCGGCCTGAAGCCGTCAAACAGGTGCTGTGTGGCGGGGAGCAGGTGCTGAGTGGCACCGGGGCTGAAAGCGGAGCTGAAGTCAGTGCTGTAGCCGCTCAGATGAGAGGGTAACCCGGCCGTGCTCTGTGTGTCCACCCAGCTGGTTCCCATGTCCCACCAAGCAGCGGACCCGTTACTGACCTCTCCCATGGGCTTGAACCATGACTCATAGGGATGCGCGTGCATCCTCGGATATATCCCGGCTATGCCTTCCACCGAGGACGGGATTTTGGTCAGAAACATAGACCGCTGTGCGTGCGCGGGATCGGGCACACTGTTGTCTGATGGCACAGCAGTCTGGTACATCGAATAATCATTTCCAAAAGGGGAGTTGGCAGTGGTCACCGAGAAAGCACTGGAGGTCTCCGTCAGTCCGGCCCCGTTATTCCTGGAGACTCCAGGGGGAACCCCGAGCGAGGTGAGGCAGGCACCTAGGTTGCTGGTCCCCGGGGCTCTTCTCCACGGGTGGAAGCCCTTGACGAGTCCCGGGGCTCCATCGGAAAGAGCAGGGGAGCACGAAGGGCTGGGGTCACCAATTCTGCTGCAGGTGGCAGCCAGCATGGCCAGCGGCGTGCTGCCCAGCCGGGGCTCCTCCTGTGGGGAACACACAGACATCTTTTAGGCCTGTCACTCCATAATGACCAAACATGACGTGCCGTGCGTAAAGACGCGCAGAATATTAGCCAGTGTAGCATATTAGTCATATCTGCGCAAAACTTTGAGGCTCACAAGTCAAATTCAATAAGCTTAACAAACAGTGCACATCTGACTTGGATCATTTAGTGTTTGCCAGCTAACAGCAACGACAGCAGGTACACTTTTTCATATTATGAGTAACAAAAACATAAAAACATGGACGCTTTACTGTCATTAGAGTAATCACGTTACAGTGAGAGGGTTCCTAAAATCAAATGCTCAACTGTGCACTTCATTTCACTTTAACCACAAGTAACCCCTAATCCTACATATCGTTAGATTATAACTGCATTATTAGTTATTACAGCGACTATACAGGAGGTAACTATTCCCTGAATACACACACACACACACACACACACACACACACACACACACTGAGCCCTCTATGGATATTACAACCAAATTAAACCAATATTTAGCAACTTCTTCAAACGAATGTTTCAGCAAATATTCAGCAATATAAACTTACCCCTAGCAATGTAGCAGCCATTGTCTGTGCTGTACGTCCGACTGACTGTGTGTGTGTGTGTGCGCTCGCGGTGACTGGATGTGATGAGTCTGTCTCTCCTCTCTGACTGCTTTAGTAGTTGTAGCTTCTTCGTGGCTTTGAAGTGCCGCTGAGAGCCCGAGGACCAATCAGAGAGCAGTTCCAGGCTGTCGCTGAACGTTTGCGCTCGAGGACGTCGTAAATTTGTGTGAGGTCTCGCGAGCGGCGGGCTTCAAATTGCAACGAGTAGGAGACATGAAGTAAAGACAGTAAATTCATTGGAGCTGTTTGACCAGCACTGTGCTACCTTACTTAGAAAAGTTAACTAACTAGCCACCAGTAGCTCCAGTACAGTCTCTCTTACCCTCAGTTATGTGGCTGTTCATGGGAATGTCATCATTTGGTTAATAAATAAGCAGTTTTATTAGCATCAATTATTTATTTGTCAATGCTAGCAGTTTTATTACCATTTATTACAGAGCTCAAACACCACAAGGCTCTATACCAGGCCCCAAAGGACCCCAAAGCCCAGGTTACTATGGCATCACTGTGCTCATCAGCTTAATTTAAATATAAATATGTGTAACAATGTGCACAATTACCTACAAAAAAGATAACATTTGGAAAACACCAAAAGCAACAGTACTCTGTAGATAGAACTTCACCTTGTGGACAGTTCAGACGAATGAGATTCAGTGTGTTTTAGTTAAACTCTTTAAGGTCTTGTTTAAAGCCACCCGGCCTGATGTGATTCGGCGCAGAAGCTTTGTTTCCGAGACTGATGTTGTTTTTACTGATGTTGTGAAGCCACGCAGAGGGGAGAGGCTGATGAATGAGAGGCTGGCCCGGTCCGTCCCATCCTGTCCCTGGGGCGTTTCCAGTCAGCCCTGAGGGAGGGAGGGGAGGACACCACCACTGCCTCTGCAATTTCATCTCATTCAACATAAAACAAATGTCCTTCAAAAAAACACCTCTTCCTGTGCTGTTGTCAGTTTATAAATCATTTCAATGACTGTATACACTGTGAGGGGAAACTTATATAACTGGATTGTAAACTGGTAAATAGGTAATCCCATTCTTAAATCATGGAGGGTTAACCAATATGATGAGCACACCCTGGAAATAATCCAAAATGATCCTCAGCCTCTTAATATATGAGCAAAACCACGCAGGGAGCATTTCATTTGAATTTCAAATTTAATAAAACAGCAGGATTTAATCCATTTCCTTCATTTGTTTGGTATTAACTGCTTCCCTGCCCTTTCTTCATCTCTCTTGTTCTATGTCCAGCCTGAATGAAGTCAGCTGGACACACATAGACGAAAAGTTAATCACATTCCTCATCCACTCAACACGCACGAACACAACGTTTACACCAGGTGATTGATAGTGCGCAAGATTAATTTCGGTGATGCTATGCAAAGACAAACAGTTCACTCCATCAGAAATCTCCCATTCCATATGGTCTATTGTTTAAAAATGTTTCAGGAGATATTATAAATGTATAAAGTATATGTATAGATGGGTGAGAGTGTAGGTTATGTACATTATTCCACATCACTACTCTACATTATTTTTAGTGGCTAAAACAAAGTGTATAGAGATACCGCTATTGTCTGATACACAGTTGCAATAAATTATACATGTAGGGCCCAGTTTTCACACTCTTTTAAACAGATCTCTATGCAGGTATGATTTTGTTCATCTTAATCTGTGGCCTTTAAAAGCTGCCATTACTGCACTTTGTGCCGCAGACAGCTGCCCAACTAGACAGCCAAAGCAAGAGAGCTAAATCAAATAAAACTGGTGCGATCATAGATATGTAAAAAGAACTAGATACCGAACGCCAAGTTGCAAATTCTCGTTCTGCCGTAGACTTTACGTTGTGATCATGCATTTAAATAAATTAATCGCTATTACAAATGTAAAACCTCCAATGATGAAAGATTCATAATATAAAGAGTCCTAATTGATTTTGTTTGCAGACAGAAGTCGTGTTGATAATGGTGGTGAATGCTTCTTGGCCTGCAGGGGATTTTTTTTGCTGCAATACCACGAGTAGCCACTGGGCAAAAGTGGAAGCAAGGGTAAGTGTTTCTGTGAATTCTGAGCCATGACTAGCTTTAGGCTAAATCTAACAGTAGGCCTAAACTTACTTTAGCTATAGCTAACTATAGCTATTATCTGTAAATGAAAAATATACATTTTGACAAACAGTCAAGACATCAGTTTGTTATTCCACATAGCCAAATGAGGCAGAAGCCAAAGCAAATCACGATAGAGAAGACAATTTCGCTAAACTCCTGCTAATAAGCTTACCATCTCAATACAGATGCTATGTTAGCTTTTCACTTTAGTGGAATTTATATGTTTTGATGTTGTTCAGCTACCATTAAATCAGACAATAAAATGTATACAATAGATAGACATGTGGCAAAACACATTATAGCCTAAGCTAGATGATTGTAGATGTTGCATTTTGCACTAACATTCTGTATTATTATATTATCCATTATCCAAATGCAGAGAGCAGTAGCATGTATTTTGTTGTATTAGTGAATCATGTTGGTTTCTGGCAGGGATTTTTGGGAGATAAAAATACAGAAAGCATTGCAACCTTTATATCTGTCACACAGTTTGTCAGCCAGCCGGAAAACTTCAACTTTCACTCAACTTTTCTGCTTCTTTAGTTACTGCTCTTTGCCTCTGAAGGCCAGTGCTGTCCACTGTAGTTATTATCTGTTAATAATATTCCTTGCACACTAATACACACCTCCCAGTTGACTGGACAAAATAACAGGCTCCCACGCTGCTGGCCCCTGCTTTCCCCCACAGCCTGGGGCATGGCCGTATGCACAGGTGGAGTTTACAGTAGGCCATCTTGCCATCCTCACGAACCACCCAAACAGCTGTCCCTCTTTTAGATGCATTCTTTTCCCACACTGAAAGTGTGTGTGTGTGTGTGTGCGTGCGTGTGTGTGTGTGATTGTATGTGCTTTAAAGGCCCCCAATGAAACTCTGTCTGAGCCTCAACCTGTTCCTTTAGCGATGATAATGACCACATTATCACGCGCCATCGAACGTCAACAAAAAAAGATTGTCGTGTGCTTTCCATTCACTTTGTGGGGCACTGAGACAGAAAAAGCAGAGAGAAAAGAGTGAAATAAAGATCTGGCACTTCTCGGGGAGAGGGATGGGTTAAGTATTTTATTTCTCCTTGGTGTTTTCCTCAACTCCTCTTTTGTTGCTGGAGTATAGTCACAGTAATCCAGAGGGCAGGGCAGCCATCTTGGTCAGCTGCCCTGCTGAGACAATTAGCAGGAGAATCAGAGAGTCAAAAGACAAGCTGCCAAACATGACACAAAAAATATTCATCGCAACCAGGGGGTAGGCCAATAAATTTGTTTAAAAGAAAAAAAAAAGGGTAAATAGGTTTCAGATTCTGCGTCGGCCTGTGGTGCATTTGTGACAATGATGTAGCTGCTTGGTGCGAAGATTCTTCCTCTTATTAGTGCTCAAACTTCAAAAGTAATGATTACAAAACATGTTTTTATGTGCTCTGAAAGTTACTGAAACATCTTATTTTATAAGATTGTGAAGGCTTTAAAGATAACATCTTTTAATTTCTTATTTGTGGTTGTTTGAAATTTTGATCTAAAAGTCTACTTTCCGAGTATGAATTGCTAATAAGGTTGTGGTCATTCAGTTGGTTACAGTTAATTTCAATAAGGACCAGGTGTCATGCTATACACAGACATAAGCAAAAATGTGCTAATTATGGCCATTGAAAACACAATCATCGGTGCTTGATAACGCTTCATAGATACGATGTATCCCACTGACCTTTGCTTTACACACACTATAACAGTTCATTCTGACACTCACAGAAATTCCTTTCTTCATAAAATGGCTTCTATTTATATTTTACAATTACAGTTTGGCCTTTAGGTAAATCCTCTGTGAAGAGTGGCCTGCAATATTATCATATTAACGGTTATTTTTATTGTCATGTCTAGTACGTGTTTAACTGCTTTTGTAGACTGATACATAACTTTAAAAATCGTATAAAAAGGGCCAGAGGAAAACATGTTTTGTGTGTCTTTTTATTTCTAATTAAATCTTTCCACAGAGGAGTATCTCTGACTGACTGACCTACATTTCTCTTTTGATGCCCTTTAAACTCCAACATTAAAACTAATTGAGAGGGGAAAAGTCATCCAGGTGATCCGTGTGCCAGGATGTGCCTGGAGCAGCTCCTCCTTGGCTTCCTGTAATTACTGCGTGGAGAGGGCACGTCCGCCGTCTGTCAGCACGGGGCTGATGGACGACTGTGGCAGCAGAGCAGGGAAAACGTGTTCAGGTTGCTGTGATGAAAACTTTCACGTAAGCAGTTTACAGCACTATCTTTTCATCTGCACTCACAATAAAGGATCAGTAAGTACTGAAACCTCTCTTTTTCTCATGCAAACACAGACCCTCCTTCTAGTTCGCTATATGCATCCTATGCACACTATCTTGCAAGTTCTCTTACTGTCAAATCACGCCACATAAGCTTTATTATTTATGTTGACATACACCATATCTCAACCACAGTGGTGGAGAGACTCCTTTAGTAAGAGTACTAAGTACTACAAGTATTTTTACAGCGTATTAAAAGTGTAAACACACTCTGTGACAAGTAAAAGTTCTGCATTGAAAATGTCTTAAGTAAAAGTATGTAATATAATGTACATACTGGTACTGTTACACTATATTATATTCTATCATTAGATTATTATTACTAATTTAAAAGCTGGATTTTACTGCTCATTTTGTACTATTTTGTACAGGACTGCAACTGATGATTATTTTCATCATAGATTCATCTACTGATTATTTTCTCCATTGATTGATTGATTGTTTGTAAATATTCAGAAAATAAAGGGAAATGCCACCACAATTACTCAGTATCCTAAGTGACAACTTCAAAACGTCAAAATAAAAAAAATAAAAATGACACAATT